TGGTTGAAATACTCCAAGGACCCAAGATGCATCACTGACAAACTTTGATAACTCTAAGACTCTTAATATTTGAAATACATAGGTACTGTCTCATCATTCCAAAAGTAGGTCACAGTGATATAATTCTGAGGATCACTTTTCTGTCAAAGTTAAATGTTTCTAAGCCAATTAGTATTTGAAATACTAAAAAAAGCTATGAAATTCAAAAAGTAGGTCATGGAGACCTAATGTTTGGTGAGCTAACTCCCAGGACCCAAGAGGCACCAACTTTGACAAATGGTTTTGATTCTAAGCCATTTAGTAATCTTTAATTTTGAAATATCGCCATGAAGGTCATGGTGACTTACTCTTTGGTTTGCACACTTTGAGGACCAAAGATGCATCAACTTACAAACTTTGATGTTTACTGTTTTACCAATTACTATCTAAAATAGCCATCAAATTCCAAAAGTAGGTCACAGTGACCTACTTTTTGGTTGACACACTCCGAGAACCCAAAATGTACAAAATTTGATTCTATTCTAAGGCAATTGGTATCTGAATAACACATGAAATTGCAAAAGTAATTTATGCTGACCTTCTGTTTGGTTGACACACTTTGAGGACAAAAGATACATCAACAAAGATTGAAAATATCAATCCAATTAGTATCTGAAATATTGAAATGTAGCCATAAATTGGTAAAATTAGATTTCGATGACATACTTTTTGGTTGAGGCACTCTGAGGACCCAAAATGCACAACGACAAAGCTTGATGATTCTAATGCAATTAGTATCAGAATAAGCCATGAAATAGCAAAAGTAATTGATGGAGACCCAAATTTTGGTTGACACACTTTGAGAACTCAACAGACATCAACCTACAAAGTTTGAGGATTCAAAACGAATCAGTATCTAACATAGCAATGAAATTCCAAAATTGACCACGGTAATTTATTTTTAGTTGACACTCTTTAAGGACCCAAGATGCTTAAACTGACATAATTTGATGATTTTAAACCAATTGCTATCTGAAATATCCATTAAATTCTAAAAGTAGGTCACGGTGACCTACTTCAGTTGCACTCTGGGGACGAAAGATGCATCAACTGACAATGTTTGATAATTCTAGGCCTATTACTTTCTGAGTCATCTAAATTTAGCCATGGAATTGCAAAAGTAGGTCATGATGACCTACTTCTGGTTGATTCACTCCGAGAACTCGGGATGCATCAAGTGACAAAATTTAATGATTTAAAGCTTATTAGTAACTGAAAGAGCCATCAAATTCCCAATGAAGATCACGATGACCTACTTTTTGGCTTAAACAATTTGAGGACCTAAGATGCATCAACTGAGAAAGTTTGATGATTCTAAGCCAGTGAGTATCTGTATTGAAATATAGTGTGAAATTTCAAAATTAGGCCACAGTGACTCCAGGGGCCAAAGGTGTATCAATTGACAAAGTTTGATAATTCCTAGCCGATTAGTATCTAAAATATTTAAATTAAGCCATGAAAATTGCAAAAGTAGGTCAAGGTGACTTTTTTTGGTTGATGATACACTCCGAGAACTCAAGATGCATCAACTGATAAAGTTTGATGATCCTATGCTCAAGATGTCCAAAATATGCCTTTAAAACATACATGTACCTGTATAGGAAATGATAAGCCATAAAATTCAGAAAGAAGGTCAGGGTGACCTACTTTTTTGTTGACACACTTTAAGGTCTCATGAGGCATAAACGGACAAATTTTGATGATAATAGGTTTCAAAGTATAGTTATGCATAAAAATCAAACTTAAAATGAATACTTGGAAAATTCAAAAAGTTGGTCAAAGTGACCTACTTTTGAGTCAGCATGATATAAGGTCCTAAGATGCATCAACTGACAAGATTTAATGATCCTAGGACTTACAGTGGGCAAAATATCAAAGATTAAACATAATTTTTGGTCAACTTTGAAGTGACCTTGAGACCACGCTCTTTGTCCCAGGCATTGAACAATTATTAGTCTAAACTTGTATGTAAGTGATAATCTGACCAGTGGTTCTTTAGGAATTTTTTTGGGAGCCTCTACTTTTGTTTTTACTTCCCTAATTATCCCCCCTTGTTTTAGGGACACATCTTTAGTTTTTTATACAAATGAAAGTCCTTGGGCCAAGGATACTCTGTGACAAATTTGAAAAAAAAAAATTGACTTAGCGGTTTTTGAGATACAGCCCATTTTCCAAAAAAATTACGCACACTGCATAATTGTCCATAACATTTAATTAGCTCTTTGAGCCTTTGGCTCAGAAGAATTAACAAAATGTTAATAATAATTGGGTTAATCGGCTGCGCCAAAGCGATTTATGAGACACTTCAAAAAATTCTGAATGACCTTTACGTGATCAACGTGATGTCAAAACAACTGTGTAAATATACGTATAGCCGATGGAACCATATCTGTCAATTACCTGTTCTGAATTACATAACTTGCAAATTAAAATCAAAACCGACGTCGAAACGCAATATAATTTGAACGCATTTAAAGCTTAGGGAAATCTTAACTTTGCTTTGATGTGCATTATAGTTTACCCAATGGTATTACGGAGTGGGACACTCTTTTACAAAATGGAGAGGAGTGTATGGTCCTAAAGATGCTGGGCACGAATTACCCTGTCACCTCAGAAACACGTGACTCTCTATTCGAGCACTTGTTGTGACGTCTGCAGAGACCCGCTTTCTTCCTGACAGGCTGCTGACGAGTGCAGACGTGTTTATGTGAGTGTTGTAGATTGTGATTATATTGTCGACCTAGCATCTATATTAAAGTGCGGAAATATACCATAATGTTTCTCTCTGTTGGTAATCAAAGCAGTGCATTATGTAGGTCATAGTAGAGAGAAATACGATTATTATGTCATTATTTTTTGCAAATGTTAATTGTCAATGTCAGATACTTAGTCTTTAGTCAAATTTATTTAGCATATGTCACAAAATGTGTGAGATGTATACTTACATTATCAGACTATGTATCTTATGATCCTCATTAATTTTGCTGTAGTTTTTTTTACCCTCTTCACGATGATAGTCATGATTAAAAGATTACTACTTAGTTCTATTTTAGTTATTTTCCTTTTGAAATCGTCACACAGATAATCGATGTACCCTGTATGCCTTATTTTGCATAAAAATGATTCAGTTCAATAGCTTGAGTTATCTGGACAAATGACTACCTTTTCCGTTTTTTACCTGCCCTTTTCACCATTTCAATAACCGTATTTTTCTAAGAAAAACCCGGTTTATAAAATTTTATAAGTACAGAAAGGTCATAATATCGATAAAGGAAAGTAATATGAAGTTAAGTTTTTTTTTATTATTTTAAAATATTTATTTCTCATGAAATAAAGCAGTGTTTGGTTCGCTAAAAAAAACAAGAGGCCCAGGGGCCACATCGCTCACCTGAACACTATGGCTAGAAAAAAGCAGAAATCAGTTCAGTCTTGAAAGGTTGAAAAGTTTAAATATAAAAGTGGGGGGTAGGGGGGGTCATGAATTGAACAAATTTGAATCTACATTATCTGAGGATGCTTCCATTTAAATATGACCAATCATGGCTTTGCTGTTCTTGAGTAGAAGATTTTTAAAGATTTAACCTATGTATTCCTATGTAAAACTTTGATCACCCATTGTGGCCCCACCCGACCCCTAGGGGTCATGTTTGAACAAACTTGAATGTTCACTATCTAAGAATGCTTCCATATGAATATGAATATGCATATCATGGCTTAGCTGTTCTTAAGAAATAGTTTTTTTTAAAAAGATTTTTACTACGTGTTCCTATGTAAAACTTTGATCACCCATTGTGGCCCCGTCCTATCCCCGGGGGTCATGATTTGAACAAATTTGAATCTACACTATCTGAGGATGCTTCCTTGTAAATATGACCAATCAGGGCTTTGCTGTTCTTGAGAAGAAGATTTTTAAAGATTTTTCCTATATATTCCTATGTAAAACTTTGATCGCCCATTGTGGCCCCACCCGACCCCCAGGGGTCATGATTTGAACAAACTTGAATCTACACTACCTGAGGATGCTTCCACATAAATATGACCAATCATGGCTTTGCTGTTCTTGAGAAGAAGATTTTTAAAGATTTTTCCTATATATTCATATGTAAAACTTTGATCGCCCATTGTGGCCCCACCCGACCCCCAGGGGTCATGAGTTGAACAAATTTAAATGTACACTATCTGAGGATGCTTTCATGTAAATATGACCAATCATGGCTTTGCTGTTCTTGAGAAGAAGATTTTTAAAGAGTTTTCTTTAATATTCCTATGTAAAACTTTGATTGCCCCCAGGGGTCATGACTTGAACAAACTTTAATCTACACTACCTGAGGATGCTTCCACATAAGTTTCATATTTTCAAGCACAGTGGTTCTTGAGAGGAAGATTTTTTAATGATGCCATTAATTTTTCACAAATTCTTAATTATCTCCCTTTGGAAGAAGGCGTGGCCCTTCATTTGAACAAACTTGAATCCCCTTTACCCAAGGATACTTTGTGGCAAGTTTGGTTGAAATTGGCCCAGTGGTTCTGGAGAAGAAGATGAAATTGTGAAAAATTTACAACGACAACGCCGACGACGACGGACAACGGACAAATTTTGATCAGAAAAGCTCACGTGAGCCTTCGGCTCAGGTGAGCTAAAAATGGGAAAATTATTTATGCATAATATACAATAACGGTGCAAAAAAAGCAGGGTAGCACCGACAGACATATTTCATCCCCTTTCTTCGTTTTGAAATTTGATTGCGATATGTGTGTGTTGATAATTGGAAAACAAACAAAAAAAATCTTAAAACATTTGACTGCAGTACCCAACCTCTTAAAATGAACTAAGCATTGAGAAATCGGCTTGAAATTATCACTTCAAACAAACATTATTAGGCTTAATGATGATGCAATGTACTCTAAATTTGTGGATTTAAATCCGCTCCCGGACGCATGCTATTCATGAGAATCGTTCTTCTGTTCAGGTAATAAAAATTTTGAAATTCATTGCAGTATGGGGATTCGAGGTGTGATTTTTGGAGTGTGGATTTCATTTTATTTCGTTAATTATGTGCAAGGACAAGTAATTTCTGGAAATATTCTCCAAATTCTACAACGAACAACAGGATTTTCTAAGGTAAATTCGAGCATCTTTATTCTCGTTGAAAGGTTTAAATATTATTAGGTTAAGGTGTGACTTAAGAAATTGCGCACTTAAAATGTAAATTGACAGTCTATATATATATATAGTAATAACGTATCGTTAGTTTTGTAAAGGAGTAGTAAAAATACAATTGGTATTAAAACAAATTCGGGGATAAACAGTTTTAATCTGTGTCATGTATGCAGCACTCAGTAGGATAATATTAATCGCAACATTCTAGCTATTTCCTTGATAATAAAGTAAATATTTAATGATGCATGTAAACGTTTAATTTTTGCTTAAATGGACATATCAATTGTTTAAGATAATCTTTAATAAAGTAACTAAGAAAATCTATAGCTATATGTATGAAGGAAAATTGATACAAGCCTTCAATTTAAGTGAACATCTAAGCTGTAATAATAATATAAAATAATCACATGATGTCTTCACCAGGAAGTAAATTAGAGTTTCTAAACAAGAAAGACACACCTCATTTGCCATCCTTTTTACGATATTAAAGTATATCTACTTAAAAATAACATCATGCAGTTTATTGATTTGCACTTACACGAAAACTTTCAATATTCAATTACAATGCATTTTTCATAAGGTTACACAACATATCTGCTTTTCTAACGCATTGCTTCGGGCTCTGTTATTTTTTTTGTTTATGTTTTACCTGGTGTGTTGATTTGTTGCACTACACATGTCATTAAACATGAACTGACAACTCTAGCGTCTGTTTTTCTTCCGTACATTTTATTCTAAATTTTCATAATAAAAGTTTTCATTTTCTGTGATCAAATCACATTACATTGTTAATGTATAGATTTTCAGAAATCGTATTAAACTGTGTTTTTAATTTGTACACAGGTAAAATTGCGACGTATGTTTATCGCAAATCTCGCTTGAAAGTATACACTTCGACCGAAATAGAGTTGCGTTGAGTGATGACACTATTGGATTTGACATTTGAACAATTTGAATCACGGATTGCATTTTATAAAACATGCGTTTTAATTGGTTGATTAGGACCCGCCTACTCTCGTGTGGTATCCTTTGCCTACATATAGTTGGAAAGCGTCCAACGGCCTACCCAACAGCCATGTTTGATGGTCGCAAACTATTGTTGACTTTTTTTGAACTAAGAAAAAAAGAAACAAACCATAAAATCATATTTCAGTATGTGATATTCCTTTCACATACGGTACATGTATATTGTTCAATGACAAAAACTGATTTTTCCTACATGTATCTGCCGTTTTCCTCTGCAATAAATTGACATTTTCCATTTTCGGTGTTCGTTAAATTGGATAGTCTGTACGACTTTTCGGCGCACTAAAAATCTTTTTCTCAATGTTTTAGACCCTAGTGAGTAAACAAGTGAACTATTACATTGGGTAGGCAAACACAAGCAAATTGAAAACTCGGGCATTATTGTATTTAGCATACCCAGCTGATACCGGAGCACTTGTTATTGAAAAAAAAATTCTATAGTATATATTGATAGCTGGTAAAAAAACACGTGAAACATCGGAATTATTCAAAAGTTTACCGTTTTATTGCCACAACTGTCTCAATGTTTCAAATGTGTGTGTGCTACTGCATACCCATTTTAACGGCTGTCATGGCAATAAACAAGCGACCAGAACATTCGAAATCCTTGTGTTTTTTCAGTGCAATTTTTACTGTAACGGCGGATATTATTTATATATTCATTATAAAAAAAATAATTATCATATATACTTGCATGTTAAAAAATAAATAATTAAAAATATATATTCACCGAATCTAAGTACGTTTAATTTTATTGATGTACTGAAGAAGAAAACGGGGGGGGGGGGGGGGAAACGGCCGTGTTTTTCAATCGCAGAAATACATGTACATGTATGTCCCGGGGTACATGTACAAATGCATGAAGTCCTGGCACAGATTTTATTTGCAAGGCCATTTAACGGTTTACCAACACTCACAATTATTTAATAAGGTATTGCATCGTCCAACTTATTCACTAAAAGAAAATACTTAGATCTTTTGCCCGTTTTCTATCTAGGAAATATTCCACGTTTTTCGGCAATACATTTGAGAATGTGGGCGGACCTATAAAAAATGCACCAATCAGATTCTTTGTTGGATTTCGCAATGGTATGTCAGTCAGATTCAATTGTATTTCAGTCAGATTCAACAGTGTCGTCACTCAACGCATCACTATTTCGGTCGTAGTGTATACTTTCAAGCAAGATTTGCGATAACTTATGTTGAACATACATTGAACATAAGTTCTGAAACATATGTTCGCCATAAATAAACGAGCAACATATGTTTATGAACATATGTTGCTTATATGTTTTGTTTGAACATATGTTTCTGTTCATATGTTTTTCATATGTTAAACATATATTAAGTTTATTTCTTAATTACATTTTTATTTAATTATTTTGTATTTCTTTGAATTGCAAAGTTAACTAAATAGTTCTCTTGTCCTTTAATCACTTAATAATAAGAAATCAAAAAACACAATCTGAAGCAATAATCTTGTGTTTATTTTTAGCTCTACTGGTCAGAGACCAGAAGAGCTTATGCGATAGTAAGGTGTCCGTCGTCCGTCCGTCTGTCTGTCTGTCTGTCTGTCTGTCCGTCTGTCTGTAAACAATTTTTCAAAACGCTACTCCTCCTACAGTTTTGGTCCGATTTCAATATAACTTGGCACACAAGTAGACTACACTAAGATACATAATTTAGTGCATCGGTTTTTGATTTCGATGGACGGTGTTGCCATGGTTACTAAAAATAGAAATTTCTATGAAATTCCTTTAAAACGCTACTCCTCCTACAGTTTTGGTCCGATTTCAATATAACTTGGCACACAAGTAGACTACACTATGATACATAATTTAGAGCATCGGTTTTTGATTTCGATTTACGGTGTTGCCATGGTTACTAAAAATAGAAATTTCTGTGAAATTCCTTTAAACGCTACTCCTCCTACAGTTTTGGTGCGATTTCAATATAACTTGGCACACAAGTAGACTACACTAAGATACATAATTTAGTGCATCGGTTTTTGATTTCGATGGACGGTGTTGCCATGGTTACTAAAAATAGAAATTTTTGTGAAATTCCTTTAAAACGCTACTCCTCCTACAGTTTTGGTCCGATTTCAATATAACTTGGCACACAAGTAGACTACACTAAGATACATAATTCAGTGCATGGGTTTTTGATTTCGATGGACGGTGTTGCCATGGTTACTAAAAATAGAAATTTCTGTGAAATTCCTTTAAAACGCTACTCCTCCTACAGTTTTGGTGCGATTTCAATATAACTTGGCACACAAGTACACTACACTAAGATACATAATTTATTGCATCGGTTTTTGAATTCAGTGGACGTTGTTGCCATGGTTACTAAAAATAGAAATTTCTGTGAAATTCCTTTAAAACACTACTCCTGCTACAGTTTTAGTCTGCTTCTAATATAATTAGGCATACAAGAAGACTATACTAAGATACATAATTTATTGCATTGGTTTTTGAATTCGATGAACAGTGTTGCCATGGTTACTTAAAATAGAAATTTCTGTGAAATTCCTTTAAAACGTTACTCCTCCTACAATTTTGGTCTGATTTCAATCTAATTTGGCACACAGTTAGAATACACTACGATACATAATATGTATTTCTGTTTTTTTTTATTTGGGTGAATGGTGTTGTCATGGTTACCGGTACTAAAAATAGAAATTTCCGTGAAATACTTTCAAAACGCTACTACTCCTAGTTTTCATTTGATTTCAATATAACTTGTCACAAAAGTAGACTACATTAAGATACATAATTAGGGTCTTCCGTCTCCAACGGAAGACCCTTCTATTATTCTATTGTTTCTTTTTCACTATTATTATTATTATTTTTTTCTGTCCAAATTTTGTGCAGACGATTTCTCAGAGATGGTTGGATGGATTCACTTGAAATTTTCAGAGATGATGTATCATGATGTAAACCTAATACAATTTCTTTAATTTTTGGAAATTCACTTCCGGTCGGAAGTTATCGCCCTTTAATCGAATTTTTAGTGACCATTTTGTCTACACAAAAACTCAAAAATGACAAAAGCTAGAGCGCTGAAATTTTCAGTGATAATAGAGGACATGTTCTAGTTGTGCACCTCAGTTTTCAAATTTCCTGGAAGTGCCTAGTATGGAAGCTCGGTAGGGGTCGAAATTTAGGACATGAATCAGGAGTGAATTTTCGAGACATTTTTTATCATATCTTCAAAACTATAAATATTTTCTTAAAACATATTGAACAGAAATTGTGTAGAATAATAAGATCTTTTTTATGATATCAAGAAAAAAGGGCTGACTCATCACATTAGGGGCCAAGAGGGGCCAAAAGTCTTAAATCCATAAATCTTAATCGATCGATATTTTGATATACATTACTAAGCAAAAATGTTTATCTGAACAATCTACAACTATATATTATGATAAAAATCTCATATGTTACATAATTAGGGGCCATAAGGGGCCAGAATGCTAAATCTTTGACGTTTTATATCTCGAAAGTGGGAAATATTTTGATAAGCAATATTGAACAAAAGATGTTCAAAATAAGGTTCTAAACAATATGCAACGTTTCATTTTTCTCTTTACGTCCCCATTAAGGAATTAAAGGGCCAGCCCCTAAATATTTCTTTTGCATTTATCTCGGAAACGAAAAAAAAAAAATTCTGAATAGTTGTTAAACAAAATGTGTTCAAAATCATAAGAGCTTTAATGTAATATCAAGAAAAAGGGGCTGGCCCCTCAAAATCGGGGCCGGTAGGGGCCGAAAGTCTTTCATCAATAACTCTTTAACGATCAATATTTTGCGAACTATTACTGCAGCAAAAATGTTTATCTGAGCAAACTACAACCATATATTATGTTATTTACATCATATGTTACATAATTAGGGGTCGTGAGGGGCCGAAATACTAAATCTTTGACGCTTTATATCTCGAAAGTGGGAAATATTTTGTTAAGCAATATTGAATAAAAGATATTCACAATAATGTTCTGAACAATATGTAACCTTTCAATATTTGCTAAACGTCTCCATTAAGGAGTTGAAGGGCCAGCCCCTAAATATTTCTTTTGCATACATCTCGGAAAGAAAAAGTATTTCTGAATAGTTGTTGAACAAAAAGTGTTCAAAATCATAAGAGCTTTAAGGTGATATCAAGAAAAAGGGGCTGGCCCCTCAAAATAAGGGCTGATAGGGACCGAAAGTCTTTCATCAATAACTCTTAAACGATCAATATTTTGTAATACATTACTGAGGCAAAATAGATCATCTTCACTTTCCTTAACTATACAACATGTTGTTGGCATCATATGTTACGTTATAAGGGGACATTAGGGGCCAGAATGCTAAATCTTTGACGCTTTATATCTCGAAAGTGGGAAATATTTTGATAAGCAATATTGAATGAAAGATGTTCACAATTATTTTCTGAACAATATGTAACCTTCAACTTTTGCTAAACGTCTCCATTAAGGAGTTGAAGGGCCGGCCCCTAAATATTTCTTTTGCGTATATCTCGGAAACGAAAAAGAATTTCTGAATAGTTGTTGAACAAAAAGTGTTCAAAATCATAAGAGTTTTAAGGTGATATCAAGAAGAAGGGACTGGCCCCTCAAAATAAGGGCCGATAGGGGCCAAACGTCTCTCATCAATAACTCTTAAACGATCAATATTTTGTAATACATTACTAAGGCAAAATAGATCATCTTCACACTCCTTAACTATATAACATGTTGTTAGCATCATATGTTATGTTATAAGGGGACATTAGGGGCCAGAATGCTAAATCTTTGACGCTTTATATCTCGAAAGTGGGAAATATTTTGATAAGCAATATTGAATGAAAGATGTTCACAATAATGTTCTGAACAATATGTTACCTTTAAATTTTTGCTAAACGTTCCCGTTAAGGATTTGAAGGGCTGGCCCCTATTTTTTCTTTTGAAGATATCTCGGAAACGAAAAAAGAATTTCTGAATAGTTGTTGAACAGAAAGTGTAGTAGGGGCCAAGACGGGCCGAAAGCCTTTAATCTATGATCTTTAATGATCAATATTTTGTTATAGATTACTGACGCAAAATTGGTCGTCTTAACAATTTATTTATATCATTATATTTGAACGAAAGTCTCAGTCAAATTCTTTTCACATCTTATCAAAAATCGGACGGAAGACCCACTCGTTGCTCGCAACGAGATCGCATCTAGTTCTATTTATTGTTGCATGTTGCAATGTTTCAAATCCAAGTGCTACTTTTCTTTTGTTATACAAACAGACCAGTAGAGCTACAGTCTCATCAGAGACTTCTGGTTTTCAAATTTTTTTTTACATAATTCTGGCTTTATTTCCCTGACAGTGACTGCATTGCTTCTGAAATGATAAAGAAAAAATAATAAAAATTAAGAAGTGTGTTACATGTATTGTTATTAAATATATATAGGTATTAGTTAGCACAAAGAGTAATTAATTTGAGCTCTTACATTTTTTTTCTTGGCCTGTTCTTTGTTTTCTTCCATTTTACACTCCTTGGAACCTCATCATAGGATTTGAAATTGTCACATGTTAAGGTACTGCGTGGCACTACAGTGGAGACTCCAATTTTAAGGTTCTGTTGATTAATACAGGTTCTCTGAAATACAAATTAAACTCTACATGTAATTTAGGTTCATACACTGAAGATATTTGTCATGTGCAAACAAATGCATACCCTAGTCTCCTAAACAGTTATCAATTGTGATATCAGTTAAAACTAATTTCATGAAACATTATATGGTGTTGTATAACACCATATAATATTATGTCCAAGACAATTTAACTCTTGGAAGATATGCTTAATAATAAAATCATTAAAAAAACAATTTTTCGAAATGTTTACAAATGAATTTGGAATGTTGAAATAGTATAATATAATAATATTAAATGGATAATCAGATACAAATGTATATTTTGATATTAAAAAAAAATACAGGCAAAAGTACAGGCAGAGAAATAGACATTTTGTTTCCAGTATATCTAAAAACTTTGGAAGAAAATAACAAAGCTTGTAATACAGGGTGTACTTACCTATTCTGGAGCAAGCCTAGGGCCATGGTATTCTTCCAAGTTATTCATAGCAGGGAGGGGAGCCTATAAAACTTGTAAAATAGATATTCATACAGTAAATATTTTCTAATCAAATTTCAATCAAAACTTAAAAGAAATTTTGAAAGAGAGTGAGTGCAAGTCTCTAGTTTCTCTAGTGTTGAAAGAAATTCTATGTCAATTAATATATAAATAAGTAATAAATTAGCTAATGCATTTTAAGTACATTTACACTATTATCTTGAATGCCAGATTAGGCTGAAATTGAGCATCTTTCAGATATTTTATAGTTTAAAAGCAAGCAAGTTTTACCCACATCAACATCTTCTATATTATAGTAAAAAAAAAAAGTTTGATTAATTTTTCATAAAGTAAACCAGTGTAGAATTAAGAAGCAAAAAGAAATTTCTCAAGAAATATTTTGTTATTAAAGAGTCACCTTGTAATTACTGTGATTATTATATGTATTTGTTTTCACCTGTATAATGTGATCGTGCCATCTTCAGTCAAATCAGCTTTGGGTTGAATCGTCAGTCTTAACAGTTTTGGGTTCTTCCAATAAAAACGGCACTCTGACACGGAACTCCAGTTGCTTACTACATAATAAAAACAAACATTTTCCATTAATAATTTGATAAAAGAACCGAATGGATAACCATCTTAACATAGGCTACATACAAACTGCTATGCAAGATTTCTACTTTCAGTTTCATGTCAAGATCGTACATAAATATTCAAACGTAACAAAATTGACAGAAGGAAAACAAATCTGAAAAATTTGAATTTCTAAATGGTTTTTACGTTCGTCGAAAACAAATCCAAAATAATGTAGACAAGATCACTAGGTGTATCGTCTTTTGACGAACTGCATTAATTACAACTACAGTTAGATGTTATGCAAGTCACGAGAGTACATGTACTAGACGTTCGTATGAATCTGTAACGCTAAAGAAATTCTCTTAACACCATGAACTAAATTCTAAAAACATATCTGAGAGCACTTACTTGTTTCCAACACCCAACACTTCTGCTGCAGCAGTGACGTCAAAAATGACGTACATACACTTTCATCCGATAAAAACCAAAACCGGTCCGGAAAAAAAAATGTGGAATGATTTTTTTTCCTTCCCTCATATAATAAATCCAAACAAAACGTGGTAAAATACAAATTTATTAATTCTTGATGAATTTAATTTGGGGAATACAATGTTCAAGAAGACAAATTTCGATTTGAAGAAAGGGAGGGGGCTGAATTTGGAGGAACAAGTGGAGGAGGGGGTACAGCGTAACAGAGGAGTCCCCCCTTTTTATGAAAGCTTCTACAAGAAATGATCATTATTTTGATAAATAAGTATTGAAATTGATCTTGATAAATGTTATTGAAATTAATTTTTTAACATGCAGTCTACTTGCATTGGCGAATCCACAAGGAGGAGGGGGGGGGTGCTTGTCAACTGTGTTCGGAGGTTGCCCCTTCGAAAACCGTTGCTATGGGCTTGAAGTGCCTATGGTGCCATTCTATGCATGTGTGCTGGGGGCACCGACCTGGAAACCCCCCTTTCAAAATTTGCTGGATCCCCCTCCGACGACGTGTTAAAATGTAACATATAACTCGTGTTTTTCATATTAGGTTTAATATTAAATTATTGCTGGTTCACTGATTAACATTAAAATAATTAACATATTTTTTATCAGTTAAATTAAAATAAAATTAATTCAAATAACGATAACATTAATTAAATGAAATAAATGTGAAAAGGCTATTGGTTATTATATAATGTTCAGTATGAATTTTATGTGAAACTCAAAACATGTGTTGAACATATGTTTGAAACAACCATATGTTTAAAATATATTCAACATACGTTAAACATATAGTTACAACAAACATATGTTCAACATATGTTTTGAGTCTGCTATATGTTCAACATATATTTTAAAGATATGTTCAACATATTTTTTAAGCATATGTTCAACATACTGTCGAAAATTCATATGGTCAACATATGTTCAACGTATGTTCAACATATGTTACTCAAAACACATGCTGAACATACGTTGGAATCTTACCTGTGTATATATCCAATTACACAAACAATATTATGAAAATGATGAATGTTTCTTCATAGTACAATAAATCGGGGTTCAGGTCACAAATGTCATATTTTAACCGCCAGCATTGATTATATAAATTTGAATTAAAGTTTCTATTTTAATGAACAGTACCGGGTAGTTTAAAGTAGCATTACTTATTTATCATGTGAATGTATTTTACCGAAAAAGTAAAGAAGAAACACGGTGTCATAAGGTGAATTATAACAAAATCGAAAGTAAAAGTGTCTAATGATTCATGAAATAAGGCCCTCAAAATTTATAGGGATTTATATTTGACAGCCTCTAAGAATTATAAGGTAGATAGATTAGATAGATAGATAGATGATAGATAGATAGATAGATAGATAGATTTTTGACCAAAGAGCCAGACCCAATGTTTGTTTTTTTTGACGTGACCATCAATATTACTAATAAAAATAGAGACTCAGTGTTGAATATGTGAAAGAAGTTCAAATTGTGTGGGAAACCTTTGAATGTTTATTATGATGGTATCTCTTGTATTATACAAACTAGTAATAATACCAAGCAAAATCACGTTCATCGTGTAATTATCAACGGAATATTATTTTAAATTTGCAGTTTGCACAGTTAGTTACTCGGGCACAACTAACAAAGTTTTATGAATCTCCGACCACCATGACAGTGTTTGCATTCAACGACACGGCTTATAATCAACTACCGTACAGGGAACGCAATGTAATAGACAGCTACAATGTAACTGAGCTCAAAGACTACATCAAATTCTGTACAAGTAGGTATTGCAATTAAACAATGCTAATATCTTAAAATACAGTTGTATATCTTTTGCTGAATCTAAGGATCATGATTATAGTTATAAAAATATGATTGGGTTGTATGCATATGTCATCAGAATATACATGTATAAAGCTTTAATGAATGTTCAAAGAGCTAATAGTTAGCCTAATTTTACCCCTCCCTCCCCCTTTACCGCAGTACTTCCCTACATTAGCTTATAGACACGTGGCATGATAAATCTGCAAAAGTGAGATACTACGGATATCGCTGGTCGCAAAATTGGCTTTTCATTATTTTTTTATTTCAACATTGAATGAAAACAGCAATGGAAGTGATCAGTTTTTTATCACCATACGCAGGTAGGTTAAGGCTTCCCGTAGAATATCACAGTGCACTCTGTGCCTTCACATCTCTGAACTACTAAAATATGACGTCATAATGGAAAATGACGTCAAGTCACTGCAAACTTGAGGTGTTATGACGGGGAGAGTGTCATGAACTTAACACTTTATTTCAAACTGCATGTAAAATGCTAGATAGCTATTGCAAAATTCACGGGTCGTTAAAGGTTTTTTAAGTCTTATATGTCCGAATATTTTAAAAATACACCGCTTACCTACCCTTGATTGAAATTCAGCATGTTCAAAATGCTTATGAAAAAATATACTTTTGAAATGTACTCTGTTTTATACCCGTGGTTGGAGGTAGAATTTATTTTGTGTGTATAAAAGCGTCTGGCGCAGGTGATTAATGAGGATTAATCTGAGAATTTTTGTTGAAATCTGTAAGAAGAGGTTGTTCTCTGAGTCTTGCTTGGGAAAAATGTGTGTTGGCTTTGTTTTAATACAGATTACGATATTGTGTGGAAGATACCCTCAAATTTGTAGGTAAGTTAAATTTCTCAGGAAATATTTTGTTTCTAAGTAATAGTATAACTTTTCCCAAGCACATTTCGGATTCACAAGGATACGATGGGTTTAATTATATAACAAAATGTTAATAATTATTGTGTTAATCACCTAAAAAATTATAAATGACCGTCACGTGATCAACAAAGTCATGTGATATCATAACAAATATGTTAATATGTAGCCGAGGAAACCCTCTATATAAATTGGAAATACTTAAGTTCAGTACTTATAAATTAAAACCAAAACCGACCTCGTAATGACATATTATGTTTTGAGCGCTTTTTAAAGCTTCGGGATGCCTTAACATAGCTGCGTAATTATGAGCTTCCAGCTCAAGACAAATTAATGATATAATAAAAGATTTATGTACATGCATATTCTATACGTATACAGCATGGAAAAAGACAAATGTGGTGCCGTAGGGCCTAGCTATACAAAGTCTACTATCTATACATCTATGATTGAACGTAAAACACTAAATATTGTATAATTCAAGTTTCTCTTTCCGTTTTTGGAATGTGTAAACTAAAATATTTAAAACTTTGATATCAAACTTTTCAAAATGGCGTCAAACGAATGGCGTCTTCGATGGGAAAGATTTGTTCTGCCCATTATTAGTATTATTTGCCGTAAAAAAGTATATAAAACTAGACGAGCTTGTTGCAAAGCAACAAATAAGTCTTCCGTCTAAATTTGAAGGAGATGAGATCGAGAGACTTCTACGGTCATATGTGCAAAAATGAGCCATTTACCATTACTCTCGGTGTGACCGGAAGTGACGTCATTTTGACGACTTTTAATGGTCTCCTTAGCTGCTACTTATCATTTTGAACAACTTTGCTTCTATGATGCTATACAAACTCTCAATACTTTTTGAGATATCAGGAAAACACTTTTGGCCCCTCTAGCTCCCTAATGTTAGGGGCCAGGCCCTTATTGTTGGTATCCTTTGAAAGATCGTTACATTCTACACAACTTTTGTTCTATATGTTTTAACAAAATATTTACAGGTAAAAAGATATTATAGAAAAAGTGTTAGAAAATTTAAAATTCCCGATAGGACTTTTTTCGGGCCATAGCGAGCGCCGACGCGCGGCACTTCCGATAAAAATGAAACGCCTTCCGCATATCTACAGAGATAGGTCTACCATACCTGAAAGTTTCATGTTTCTAACTAAAGCCGTATATGAGAACATCTGCGGACAACCCGACCCTTCGAAAACCATTAAATCGGCAATATCTCCGGACCGGAAGTGACGTCATCAAAACAGAAAAAAAAGCATAAGGTTCAACTGATGTTACATATGTCCTGAAAGTTTCATGGGAATCCATCGAGCCGTTTTCGAGAAATCGCGTGCACAAAATCGGTAAGGAAAAAAACCCAATAATAATAATAAAAGTGAAAAAGAAACCTAAGAATAACAAGAAGGTCTTCCGCTGAAGAGGGAAGACCTTAAATATACGTGCACTAATCCTTGGTTGTTGATCATTGCATTTTTCACAGTTTTAAAGACACTGGGTGGCGAAAACATCGTTAACTTTTGACATTTGCACCTTACACCCGAGTTCTTCTCCGTGTTGCTCAACTCCAAAAATGACGCCTCGTGAAAATTGACCAATGAAATTAAAGCCTCTGCAGAACGCTGCATTATGGGAAACGGAACCTGTTTACGTTAATTAAGTTAGAGGATAATAAAAGTTTTTATATGTAATATAATTTCCCTGTAACGGTGATTATGAGTTCATATCCTTAGTGAAGTTCTTCCCTGTTCATAGAAAGGGGGATCTCCTCAATAAATTTGCTGATAATTAGTATACTATAGAAAACAAAGTGTTTTTCTGAGGGTGACCAGAGATGTTTTATGTTTCTGGTGTGACACGTCAAGTTATTTGACGGGGGGGGGGGGGGGGTATGTAGTGCCCATCCAAACAGAAAATGTCCGGTTATCCCCTCCACTACTTTCTCATTAAATTATTCATTATTCTGATTAATGTATAATGTCACAACGAAAGATGTTAAACCTTTATACATGTATACATGTTTTAAAATTTGAAGCGTCAGAAAATGAATATTAGTTGAGGACCGTAGAAAATAAGGGGGGTGGGGGGGGGCATAGTGGACGTTCCATACGTCCCTAAACATATTTTTTGCAGCATAGAAAACAAAGCTTATTTCCTGTTGTGCCCCTCAAAATAAACGTATGACGACTCTTTATCAGCTGTTTATTATTTTGTGACAAGAATGTTGTCCTTTGAAGTCTGCCGTAAATTTCGATGGGCATTTGGCATTCAAATGAACTACATGAAATGTATACAGAACAGTATTTTATTTTTAGTGATGATGGAAAAGTTCGGTGTCAAAAATTGCTAGTTAGTAGAAGGAATCAGGGTATGTTAGACTAGTATACACTTGTAAAAATCAAGACAAAATAATTTAATTACCAGCAAGGACGGTTCAAGAATAATTAAAATTTGATTTTTTTCTTTTTCGGCTTTAGATACTTTATTGAACCCCCTCCTTTTTTGGTTTCGATTTCCAGCCTGATATCAATAATAACCAGTGGACGAAATTGCTGGACTTTTTTCTATTTGCTATACTTTACTTCAAACATCTTTGCCTTTAGTTAAAAATAATTCTCACACCGTTATAATGTATCAGAATTTTTCACATTAAATTTGAAAATTGATTTATAAAAAAAGGACAGTAAACACAAGGTGAAAAAACAAACCAATATATAAGCAAAGGTAGGGGAAACAGTATTTTGATTTGGAAAACACCGGCCCGTAGAATGCAGGGGGGGGGGAGGGGGTGAAAGTAAATGGATATGCTCTTCTTATTTATTTATTTTTTTGGCTTGTCAGATTTTTTTGGAAGCCCCCCTCCCCACTTTTGAAACTGTTGCTTCTGACCTGAAACACATAATTAAAATAAGCTTAGAATTATTTGTATGTAACCTTCAATCATGTCCATTGCGTTCAGAATTTTAGTTGTGACTGGTAACAATTTGTCAATATTTGATCATCTGATTTGTTGGAAAATAATGCCTGGTGTATACTCGTTGATGTGCAGGGCTGTATATATATACGTGGCTTTAGCCGTTCAGCCAGTACCACCCTGTATCTTTCATATATAACTTTTTTTTGGTAATTTCTGGTAAGGTTTGCTAGTTAAGAACTTTCTGGTAAAGTTTGTGCCCCAAACTGGTTGGCCTGTGGTTTGAGTAGACAGTTTTAAGTGCAGGTTTTTAAAAGTAAGTAATGGTACATGTAGAGGTATAAAAATCAAGAAATGGACGGCATATATAAAGAAATGTTTGTACATGTAGTAGTATTGACAATCACCACATCAGTATATTTTACCTAAATATCGAAAGAAACTTATTCTCTCCATTTTTTAAGGAGGGGAGGGGGCTTAAATTTGAAAGGGGTAACCTTCTGTTTAACACAATACACGATTTAAAAATATTAAGTTTTCGCTAAGCATTTACGTGTAAAACAAGTAATAAATTTTTTTTTTCTTCAATGTATTGCATTAACATGCAGTTCTTCAGAAGACGTTGTTCTTAGGGAAAAGAAAATCATGTTATATAAATATCATATACTTTTCTTTATTTAGAGTCAGCATTGGTCTTTGTGTACAAAATGGCTAAATTAAATATACGTGCATGTATGCATTTAAAACCAACATTATTGTAATTTCCTGCGAAAAATGAAGACATTTACTACATCAGGGTCTGTGTACAGATATAAATTAAAAAAAATTATTTAGTTAACACTCATTAATTTTGTATATGAATATTATTCCGCTGTATTATCTTATCAATGTCTTTGTAGAGGACTATATACGAATTTCACACAAAACATTAGTAATTTAGTTGTTATGTTGTATTAATAATAGATCCATCTGCATCCTTTCTCATAAACAATTTGCGAATTAAGCAGGCAACAAAGTTGATAATTAATAATTCTTTCTATGTTTTCAATATTTGAAGTTTATATTGATGTCAAACAAGGACGAATCGTTAATTACCGATTAAGAAATTTTATTTCATTTACCTATGCACTTACAAATTTATTTGAAAAAGAATTATGATTAACACAGAACGAGAATTTAGATTTATTCTAGACCGATAGAAAAGTATATATAATTTTTCAACGGTTAGGAATTTTGTTTTTAATCAGTTATGAAAAATTGAAATACAATTCTTTTTTTTCTTCTCTCATTGAACATCTTAAAATTAATGTAGCTTATTTTATCAATATTTTGTAGTCTTATTGATAATTTAAATTATTTTTTTTTTAAATCAAATCAATGGCCAGCAATTATCACCTAAATTTAAACTGAGTTTGCGGAGATTATGTGTATGTACATGCTTGACCACAGCCGAGTGTTCCCCTTAGGTAGAAAACCCTCTCAAATCACATAGAATATACAAAAAATAAACAGTCGCAGGTGTCTTCGCGACACGTGTCTCCACCTGTGGCACGTGAGAACAGGTGGCCGCGATTACAAGGATTAGCGCAATGATTGAATTTTATCTGAACAGTTTACACTGATTTTTCTAAAATTAAAAGTTGTATTAAATCTTCTCTTAGACTACTAATTCTAATTCACATGTCTTTATGAGTTTTACCGAGACTAAAATGTTAAAAAATTATTTAATTTGGGTTTACGGTGGTCACAGAATGTTCAATTTTATTACACAGAATACACAGAGATTTTTGAAATAATTTTTTGATACACGTTTCCAAAATGTCTATTATCGGGAAAATAGGTGTAAACCACAGCATACGTGTTTTCCATATCTGGGAAACATGCGGGAAACTACAGGTTGATTGCTTCCATATCGGGAATCAACGTGGAAACCACTACTGCATGTTTCCGCGGTTTTCCATATTGGGAAACTTACGGGAAACCACAGGTTGATTGTTTCTATATCGGGAATCTACGTGGAAACCACTACTGCATGTTTCCACGGTTTCCCATATTGGGAAACTTACGGGAAACCACAGGTTGATTGTTTCCATATCGGGAATCTACGTGGAAACCACTATGTGATTTCCATAAAATGGAAACTATATGGAAACTACTGATGTCACGATTCCCGTATGTTTCCATTGGGTTTCCAAATTTGGGAAACCTGGCTTTTCATCCTGTGCTTTTCAGAATCATTAGCACGTGTTGAACAATGTCTAGTATTCTTGTTTCCATCTTTGTCGTTTTCAGTCCCGGGAAATCGCATTGCAACCACTTTTATCCAGAACAACCAGTATGTGCGAAGCAGCAGCTCCAATGGCGACCGCCTCTTTTTCAGTCGCGTCCAGAGAATAGACACGGTAGGCCACGTCTTATTTACTTGTATGAAGAACACATAGCATATTTCTTTCTGGAAAACACAAGGATTTTCATCATTTTATATCTTTTCAAAACACCCTGTACATGTAATGTATGCTATTTTAAAAAAATAATTAAAATCTGATATGATTATAATTTTAAAGTGATTACTTCCTGAAAAATAACTTATGGATAACAATTTTGTAAAGTACGAGGGGTGATCATAAAGTTCGCGAACTATCTCTAGATTTACAAAACCACAATTCAGATCAGTATGAAATTTGGCACCCATATAAGTCATAGTCATGTTCTATGAATAGCATGTGTTATGTAATGATTTGTTCCATGTTTGTGAAGTCATATTGTAAAAATGACGTCAATATATAGGTGATTTGTGACAAAAAATTGTTGACTCAGTCGTACTCGAGCAACGAAAGGCTGTAAAGTTTAATGTATATCTTGGAAATTTCATTGCAGTAGCATATAATAATTTGTATAAGGTCAATGAAGACAAAACACTTGCCAGAAGTTTAATCATTAATATATCATTAATTGGATTGATTGTTTAAGTGAAGAAATGGAGATGGTTAAAAATGGCTTTTGTTCTGCTGCCCAGTGAAAGCAAGCGGGGAAAGAGATGTTTCCTTTGTTGAGCAATTTGTTATGAGAGATTGCCAAGTTATAGTTAGAAAAATAGTTGAATATCTTAACAATAGTATAATTATTGAATTCCTAAAATATCGTTTACTTTAGACTTTAAACATATCAGATATGATAAAAAGAAGGCACCCATACTTTATCCACGTTGGATAAACGACGCTCCCTAGACAGAGGACTCGGGTTGTGATGGTCGCCATGCTCATTCTTGGGAAGGATATCCTTATCCATCCACTCCTATTGCCGACATTTGGCCATTTCTAACAAATGGAATGATTATAATTAAATTAGTTCGCGAATTTTTTGGTCACCCCTCGTATGTTGCATATGTCCTTAAATAAGAGAAAGATATTGTAATTTGATTAGAACTTGATACTGGTATTGCGTTCTTTCAGACTTCAGGCCTCAGTAATGTACATGTACCAAAGTATTACGTCAATGGTGTGGTAATATCGTATGTTATACAGGCACTTAGCAACGGGGGGTGGGTGGGGTTGCCCCCCCCTTTTTTTAAAGACTTTTTTTTACTATTTGAAATGTTAATTGAAAGGCCGATTGCCCCCTCCACCCTTCCACGTTTTGTTGTCGAATAGTAAAATAAGGGTTCTGTAGTAGTGATGAATAAAATTTGGTACTGAAAGAAGTTGGAACCTCTTTCAGACCGCAGGCCTCACTTATGCACTGAAGTATTACGTTAATGGTGTGGAGATATCGGATGGATCATATCGTGACATCTCGGCCACCAATGGGGTTGTTCATGGTCTAAATGGAGTCATGCGGAAGACAAGTCAGAAGACAACCTACGGATGGATCCAAAATCCTGAAGATACTGCACAGCAATTTACGTATGTAGCTGTTTATTGCGTATTACTATCACGGTATAATTTGTGATATAGACAATTTTAGCTACATGTTTATCATTATGATCTAGATATTTACTTGAAAAATATGATTACTTTTATCACCTTGAAAGACCATAGATAGGCTAATTACTGTGTAACTACATGTAAAATTGTTCCAATTTGATGAATTTACTTAATATGATTGATTGTATGTAGTTTTACGTCCCATTTGAGAATTTTTCACTCGTATAGAGACGTCACCATATACCAGTGAAGGGCCTCAGTTTTAGACCTATACTCGGCAGTCAGGGCCATTGAGCAGTGAGGGTTCTTTATCGAGCCAACGCCTGTCGTGACATGGGACCTCGGTTTTTAAGGCCTCACTCGAAAGACCCGTGACTTTCACTTCTATTGTTGGGCGCTTGGTGAAGGAAAAGTTACTACGTATGTTTACGTCTAAGGTTTGACGCGGCGCGGCGAACGAGAATCGAATCCTGGCCTCCCGATCTTGGAGCGAGCACTCTACAACTACATGTAATCGACCGTGACAGGTCTACCTAACTATCTATCTAGCTAGCTAGCTAGCTAGCTAGCTGTTACTTATGCTCAGGAGTGTGCTAGCCATCACGGTTAAAAATAATTTATAAGTAACCTACATGTATATTCTTTGCTGATCAGGCTCAAAATTTTTCGAATGAATTTTTTGGATTCTTCAGAATTCGTCCTACCGTCCTAAATCTAAGATAAAGTACAATTACATCGGTAACATTTTTTATGTCTCTTTGTTGACGAAAAGTTTTGCTAGTATTTTTATTGGTGACATTGCCGTGGTTTTATTTATTTCCTTGACGGACGAATGTTTTGGCAAAGATATAGTTCTCGTACATTGTTATGTAAATTCGTGGATATCTACTTCTACCTTTAATACAATCAGTAAACCTTATAGTTTATTGGTCAATTTGTAATTGTCTGTGCTGTTTAGATCATGAAATCAATTTTATATACAACGTTAAATATAGAAACTAAAATATATGTTAGATATTTAACAACAAATACTCTTGTCGCTGTTAATTGTTATCTCCTCCTAATTCATCAGACGTGTGATGAAAATTAAGTTGTATCTGGCACGTGCAGTCGATGTTTATTATCTGCATGCTTAGTAAAACCACATGGGTATAACATACCAATGCTTTAAAGCAAGACATCTATTTACATGTACATTTCTTCCAGTACTTAAATTATGAAGGAGTAATGGAATGAACATAAATAAATACCAATATACAGTAAAATACGCTTATAGGGAGCACGCGTATGATAAATAGACGCTTACAGCGAAGTGATTTTATTTCCTTTGGTTTAAAATACATTATGAACTGAATGAACGTAGCAAATTACGTTTATCACATGTCCTTCGGATGAGACGGTATAAGCTGAGGTTCCGTGTCGCAGTAGGTGCTGGCAAGAAAAAAGATCTCTCACTGTTCAATGGTTCTGAGTGCCGAGTAAAGGTCAAAATTTGTAGCTCTCGATCCACCGGCAAGTGGTTGCTTCTCCAAAGGAGTGAAAAATTGTTGAGAGGGACGTTAAACAAGGAACAAACAAACAAAACGTTTATAACTAGGCAGTGCCCTGGCACTATCTTGCTGCAAAAGATGAATGCAAACGCTTATTTGTATATAATTTTTTCCCAGTCACATTTTTTATAGTTGCCAATGGATTTCAATTTCACAAACCCTGAATAAAAGTTGATTACACATGATTTTTATTTACTATAATGTGTTTAGCAGTGTTCTCTATAAACTTAAATTGCAGGAGATTCTTAGATTTGATGAGCTACCTATATGTAATGGACCCCATTAACGATATTTCGTCACCAGACAAGATTATCACCTTATTTGTTCCCAGTGACAATGCAATGCAAAAGATTCCTACTACCCAGCTGGACAGACTCAAGAATGATTCCAAAGAATTACAACGGGTAAATATACACATATCAGATCCCACAGAATTACAGGGGTAAATATACACATATCAGATCCCACAGAATTACAGGGGTAAATATACACATATCAGATCCCACAGAATTACAGGGGTAAATATACACATATCAGATCCCACAAAATTACAGGGGTAAATATACACATATCAGATCCCACAGAATTACAGGGGTAAAGATACACATATCAGATCCCACAGAATTACAACGAGTTAATATACACATATCAGATCCCAGAGAATAACAGGGGTAAATATACACTTATCAGATCCCACAGAATTACAACAGCTTAATATACACATATCAGATCCCACAGAATTACAGGGGTAAATATACAGATATCAGATCCCACAGAATTAGAGGGGTAAATATACACATATCAGATCCCACAGAATTACAGGGGTAAATATACACATATCAGATCCCAGAGAATTACAGGGGTAAATATACACACACCAGATCCCACAAATTACAACGGGTTAATATACACATATCAAATCCCACAGAATTACAACACGTTAATATACACTTATCAGATCCCACAATTACAACGGGTAAATATGCACTTATCAGATCTCACAGAATTACAACGGGTAAATATACACTTATCAGATCCCCCAGAATTACAACGGGTTAATATACACTTATTAGTTCCCCCAGAATTACAACGAGATAATATACACTTGTCAGATCCCCCAGAATTACAACAGGTTAATATACACTTATCAGCTCCCCTAGAATTACAACAGGTTAATATACACTTATTAGATCCCCCAGAATTACAGGGGTAAATACACACTTATCAGATCCCCCAGAATTACAATGGGTAAATATACACTTATCAGATACCCCAGAGTTACAGGGGTAATTATACACTTATCAGATCCCCCAGAATTAAAACGGGTAAATATACACTTATCAGATACCCCAGATTTACTGGGATAAATATACACTTATCAGATCCCACAGAATTACAGTGGGTAAATATACACTTATCAGATCCTTCAGCATTAATACAGGTAAAAATACACTTATTAGATCCTGAAGAATTACAATGGGTTAAAAAGAAAAATTTATCAAATCCCACAGAATAACAACGGGTAAATAAAAACTTATCTGAATTACATAAGGTTTATACACTTATCAGGTCTTACAGAACGGGTAAATATATCAGATCCATCAGAATTTCAACGGGTAATATAAACTTGTCAACTGAATGGCAATTAAGCGGAATTACTACAGGAAGTACTTAATTGTCTGTTAACACTGTAAATGTATGTTACCCAGATAACCATAAGGCTCATGGTTTCCCCCCTGTCCCAACTATTTATGAGAATAGTCTTCTAATGTAATTCAAGTACTGAAAATCTCATTCTAAGGCTTGTCCTCCAACCCTAGTTTTAATTACACTGTCCAACTTATTTTCTTTAGATTATTCAAGCCCATTATGTTCCTAATCAGGCGATTTTCACCAACTGTATTTCTCACAATGAGGGAGTTACCAATGCCAATGGAGAAACATTGACTTTTCTCCAACCTTTTGGTTACAATGGTGAGTAAAAGTTTCCCTGTTAAAAAAAGTGTTGCTTGGGGCCGTATTTACTCTCGTAACCAAATCGTCTAGGAGTCATCAACATGCTAGTACTAGTAACCTTTTAATTAACTCTACACACTAAAGCCTCCAACACACTTTCTGATTTCTCATATTAAAACTAAAAAAAAAAAAATTCACCATTCTAGAATTCACTCTCAGGAATCGTGAATGAGTCATGAGTACATTTGTACCTGATTCAAGCTTTACTCCTTTGGATTTTCTGCTTAAGCTATGAATCAGGCAAAGAGCCATAGCTGCCTCTCCGACGACACGGCCGACTCAAGAATTTAAAAGGAAATCACCTGTTTCTATTTATAGATATACCTTTTCAATTCAAGATCAAACTATGTAATATGGTTTGGGGACGAGTATTATATTTTCATAGTTGCAAGTATGTCAAATGACATTCTTTTGATTTGTTCAATACTCTAATTCTGAGACAAAAGATTTAGAAAATCAATGAAAATAATACAAGTACATGTAGCTATGAATTTACAAACTTTAAAGCTTTATATGGCGTATCTAAGCTAAAAAAAAAATAAAATAAAAAACGAGATTGAGTGAAGATAAACGTGATATATGTTTTTTACGTTCAAATAAAAATTTTAACCGATTTTGAACTTAATTGAATAACCTAATGTTTCCATAGTTAAATTGATTTTAAACTGTGTCTGTTAATTAAATGCGGAGTCGTTAAATAAATCGGATATTGTATTAAATTTCTAATATCTTTGAAACGTGATTGATTTTTATTGTGTAATTTACAGGAAAGTCCTATCTTTATATAAAGTAATAAAACAAATAGAAAGATCTTTTAATTTTGGTTAAATACGCCATATATGACTTTAATGAAATACATGTCGTTTAGGACTGTCTTTTCCCGAGATACTTTCAAAGTGTAATGTGTATATTATAACTTTCTGAAATTATGCATATTATAAAACGTAACAAAGAAAAACGTAGAAAAGATTCACAAAGAAAATTTAAAAAAAAAAAGCTAAATGGAATATTGTGGGGCTTGAACTCGCAATCACCATATTTACATTCCAGCTATCATACCACTGCGCCAACGAAGTCAATAACGTCGAATGGATAAATTTAAGACAGATTGCTAAATCTTACGATTATATGAGAAGAAAATTTGAATATATATTTTCATCATTTTCAATATGAAGACCACCTTTAACCAAAATTATCTCAATGTAATGAAGTGCAGTCATATCCAAATAAAATTATTCAAAAGTTGTTTTTCTGGTTAAGGGTGGTCTTTGGCAACAGTTTGTCATCTTTAGGTGGATACCTCAATATTTGCTATACACTCCATACAAACTGGATAATTTTCATATTTATCATATGAAGGAACTATTAATATTGAAATATCATTATTGCGTGGTTTTGTTTTACATATGTATAAACTAATATTGTATGACAAAAATTTGGTTAAACAATCAATTTAAGAAATCACTAGTAGAGTAGGCGATAATGCCTATCAAATGCGCTATGGCTCTTTGAGAAGCAAAGGTGGTGTTTGATTGAAAATAGGATTTCACTGTTTTTCTGGTTGTATTATTCATTTCTTGTCATTTTTAATACATTTTGGTATTTACTCTTCATATTTACTTTCTAATCAATTTCGTTTTATTTCAGTATATGTTAACAGTGGTGGTGTGAGTGCAGACATCACTGAGGGAAATGTAACTGTGACCAATGGGGTGGTGCACGTGGTCGATCAGCTGTTGGGATTCGTTTACAACAACATTCGTGAACAGATTCAACGAGAGGGAACGTACGAAATTTATTAAAATATATATTTTTTTTGTATATAAATCCAATCCAAGTATTTTTACTTCCCTGTCATTAGAGCCTTTGCTATTTTGCTCTACTGATTTGATCGACTTTGATCTACTTTACTGATATTATTTTTTCTACTTCTTTGAAATACTATATTCATTCACTTTTATCAAATTTGTGATGGAGCGCATGGCACACTTGTAATAGGTGTAAGGCCAGTACCCCAAATGTCGCTTGTTCAAGCCTCGCTGTGGTCACTGTTGATGTGTGTTGTGTCCTTAGACAAGGCACTTTATCTGCATTGTTTCAGTATATCCAGCTGAAATGGGTACCGGCTTACGTTTGGGGTTAACCTGCGATGGACTGGTGACCCATCCCGGGGGAATCAATGATTCTCATCCGCTTAGCACCATAAAAACCTGGTATAAACACCGGCCTTATGAACTTCGTTACTCTGGGAAGGATCTAACTAATTATCATATTTACAATTTGAAAGTTTACTGGTGATTTTGGAATTTTCAAGAATTAGATTCAAACAAAAGCCTTCAACATTTCTCTTGCAAAAAGAGAAGAAAAAAAAAGAAAATCATGTTATCTCGAAACTTCCAGAATTTTTCTACTTAAGTCTGATTAAGATTGAGACATTTGAAGATTTTGTGTACCATCAATTTGAATTGTTTGTTTATAAATGTTCTGCTGTGAACTCTTTCAGTAGCAATATATAATTTTATTTTATTTATTTCTTTACAAACGCTGCTCATAGTTCTTTCATTGCCATCATCTTGTTATAGACTACATTTTTCAGGAGGTTGTGCATGACATGAAGCTAGACAATAGATATCATTTTATTCAATTTTCTTTTATTTTTGAATTTTCTGTAGGAAATTTGAACAACTAATTAACAGAGGCACAGAAACCGTTAGGAATGCCCTCCTACAGCCGTCGGGGATAACGGTCTTCTTACCTCTGGACAGCGCCTTCCAGAAATTCTCCAACATCCCCTGGGTCAATCTGACCAGTAATCAAACTCTGGTGGACATGGTAACTATGCCAGAAATTTTCTACTATAAGTCAATTTTTCCCCAATGTATAACTTCATTACGTCAGCATTTATCAATGTAATCAAATATTGAATAAGAGGTATTACTTATTGTTTTTAAGTTGAAAGAAATTGAGTTGTTTGAGTTGCCCATAAAAATTTTGTTTCTATAAGAATTTCATTGTTTTTTTTTTTTTTTGTTAAAAGAATATTTTATCAGACAAAAAAATACAGTTTATTGTATTGAGTATCATGAAATAATGTAATAGAACAGCATACTAAAGATTTGTTTTGTATCATCATTTGTTGTCAAGAAAGTGATAACACCTACCAAAAAAAAAACCCATTCCTGCTACATCTAATTTTCAAACTGTTGACCTGAGAATCTACAGATAACTTTTTTGTGACCTATCTAATTTGATATGGAAGATTTCACTAGCACCAGGTCATGTAGAAACTTGTCATATGATTGATTTATTCTGAAGATGTGTTGACTTAAGGGAAAGAAGGACCTTGAGCTGAAAAAATGCTTGTCATTCAATTTTTTTTTCATATTTAGTATATTTCGAGCTAAGTATGTCCCACATATCTAAAACCAATTATATCATTAGGTTTCTTACCTTATTTTAGAGATATTGATTGACAAATACTATGCCCTACAGTATCTAATTGGAGTTTTAATTCTCCATGTTTCTGGGCTCATTACCCTGTCCATTATGGGATTTTTAAGCATATATAGAAAATATGCAAATGGACATGTATCTTTTAAAATATTTCAGAGTATGAATAGGGTTTTAAATTCGAAAAAGCAAGACAGAGAAAATTACGTACTTTTTAAAACCACTTAAACAACAAAAAACGTATTTACAAAAAATTCTATCATTCAATATTTTAAAATTTACGTCCTTCACATTATTGATTAACTGTAAAAACTCGAATGGTGAAGCTGACCTAAATATTGCACAGGACATGGTTGAAGAAGACATAAGCACGACAAAAACGTGTCATGTTTACATTTCTCAAGTACGGGGAAAACCAACTATTACGTCACACGTAAGCTAAATAACCGAAATAAGATATAACTACATAAGATTTCCGTCATCAGCCATGCAAATATAATTTTTGTATTCCCGTTTCTCAAAATATTTTATCATATACTGATTATGACCTGTTTTTACATAGTAATACCGCGCCTGCATTCACCGAGTATAATCTTGCTGTACTAACAGATCGTGTATGACGTCACCCTCTTGCTGGACGCGCAGTTTAGGGAAACAGAGGAGTGGATCAATCTTTTTCAGAATTTTTTAATGTTTGCAATTTTTATTTTATTTTTTTTTTTAATTTAAGATGGTAATGAAAGAAAAAAATTGTTAAAGAAATGTACAAGAACCAATGCTTTACACGTTTTGAACTTATATAAACGGAGACTATGACGTAGTTTAACAGAGTCATGTGACCATGTGTCCTTCATCCCCTTAAGTCATATTTTGATTTGTCGTGTATGTATCTTCGCAAACTAAATTTCAGCAGAAAACTTCAATGATTTTCAGGTGCTTCGGTTGCATATTCTACAACCAAAAAGCGCGATCATCTCCTCCTTGTCAGAAATGAGCGGATATGAGAGTCGTCAATACAGAAAAACCATGTATAATAGCGAGAGGGTCACCATTTATAATGAAAGAAATGGTAAATATTTACATGCAATCTTAGATTAATCAGGCTTCCGAAAGAGTACATGTATGCTTTGGAAATGTTAGTCTGACCCACTAATGCCTTCTACCACGAAAAATAGAAATGGTTATTTTTTTTTTTTTTTTTTTATTAACTTTTTCTCTCTGTCCGTCCATGTTGTATATCTATCCAAAGTTACTCTCATAGGATTTGTATGAATTTTTTAATTGTATTATCTTTATTAAATATTGTAAAATTGTAATTTTGTTTTCTAAATGTCGAATGTAGGCAGTATACTGATCAGATTCAATAAGGAGAAAATACAGTGAATAATCTATATCTTGACATTCCCAGCACTTGCATTAATAATAATATGTTTGAGAACAAAACTCTGCAATATGTTATAATGGCTGTTTTACTGTCTTTAGAAACCTGGGTACAGGGAAGTGATGTGAAGGCTCGTGTGATAGGACCGGACATACAGACAATTAATGGCTGGATCCACATCATCGACTCCGTGTTGGGAATCCCCTATTTGGATCTCCCCATGCTGATATGTCATGACGTTTGGCTACTGTGAGTGCAGTTATGTTATATACGTTGATGATCAGAATGAATGTTATACCTGAGTGAATGACAAAAATATTAGATCTAAGTAACAAGTTCCTTTTATGGTATTATTGTGTTTCACAATCTTTAGCTTATGAAATTTTATACCTCTTGAATTGTAGGCGTACATACGACTACATGAGAAGAGTGGGACTAAAGAACTACTTGACGGACCGTAGATTCACGGCAGAGAAGTGTAGTTTCGAGTTATACGGCTATCCACCAAATTATCGATCGGCCATGTTCACTAACCAGGGACCGACATGTCCCACTTATTGTAGCCAGGCCGAGTATAAGAACCAGTATCCCTGTAACACAGCACAATGCCAGACAAACACAGGTTGGTCCACCACGTGCCCCACTTACTGTGCCCAGGTGAATTACCAGAACCAGTATCCATGTAATACTGCAATATGTACCAATAGCAACATTGGAGGGGTAACAACCTGTCCAACATATTGTTCACAGTCCCAGTATGCTAATCAGTATCCGTGTAACTCGGCCATTTGTACTTCTGGGTTTAACTGCCCCGCTTATTGCTCGCAGCCTCAGTACGCAAACTCCCAGCAATGCCTAACTTGTGATGGCGGCTCAATAAGCCAGTGTCAGTATATGATCTACTGCAGCGACCCAAGCAATGCCAACAAAAGTCCGTGCAATACGTATCCGTGCAACATGCTAAATGGTACCTCCGATTACGACATGGGGTGCTGTGGAACGACCAGTGTGGCGTGTGAATTCACAGTATTTGTTCCTAATTCCAGTGCTATTGACTACTTTTCATTGTCGCTTAATGGAATCAGGGTCATGAGAGACACACCACGATTTCAGTATGTAAGTGAAAAAAAGATGCTCATTGACCCAAAGTGAATAGAGTTTTTAATCATCTAGCTCGGAGATAAATTATACGCAAGTTATCAGAAGTAAAAAGAAAGGTGAAGGTAAAGTTCTTAGTGTCTTATAGGTATAACCTATTTCATTTAAGGCTAATTTATTCTCTGTTAAAGTTAATCACATAAACTCAAGTTTTCATAAATGTCTATAATTCCTTTTTTAAATCATCAATTATGACAAAGCTTCCAAAATTCATACTTTTATTCAAATAATACAGTTTGTCAAAAAAAAAAAAAATTATTCAGTCTTCCATAAAATCTCTTATAGACGAAGTGTTTGGTCTTATAATACAATAATAAAAAAGCACCTATGGTTTGTATACAACATTACATAAATGTACATGACATATTTGCCTAGATATTGCTGCTTTGCTGTTCTATGGTAAATGATGATGTTCATGTTATTACACAAAAATATGTACATGAATATTTTTATTATTCAAGAATGTATTACTCTATGATATTCCGTATTTTTTTATTTCGTTTTCAGTTGTTTAAGCGGCTCATTGTTCCTGGTAGAATCTACTTAGAAAAACTTGGAAATGGTAACCACCAGATAAAAGTACTGAACGGCGAAACAATAAGTCTCACTAAAACAAATGACAGAGGTAATTACAGTTTGTTATGTCGGTAATTAAAGTCTAGTATTGTATCACGGTAATAACCGTCTAATCATGTTATCTCGGTAATTACAATCTGTTATATCGGTAAGTACAGTCTTACCTCGTTAGTTCGTCAGTTACGATTTAACTTTGTTATCTCGGTAATTGTAGTCGAACCTTATTATCTCGGTAATTACAGTCTAATCTCTTTATCTCAGTAATTACAATCTAACCTTGTTACTTCGGTAATTACAGCCTTACCTTGTTATTTTGGTAGTTTCAGTTTGTCGCGAACAAGAAAACATAAATTGAAAGTGTTATGGAATTCCAACTCGTTTCCATTTTAACTTAATTAAGGCATCAATATTTTAGATACAGAAACAACAACAACAATAATAATAATAATAATAATTTATTAAAAGAGGGTAACCCGATTAGTGCAAAGCACTAGTCTTCCTCGGGGCCCTCTATGCATGTATAGTACAAATATATATAAACAGTACAATAATTAGAAAAAAATACAAATATATGTGGCATGTCAAACGTTGCAATATTCGTTCTTTTCCATTTAAATTGTATAATTTTCCATTTTCATTGTATAATTCTTATTTGTATTCCATAATTTTCTATTTGAATTGTATAATTTTTATCTGCATTCTATATTTTCAATTTGTATTGTAAAATTGTAAAAAAAAAAATCATTTCATTTTTTTCAAATTTTTTATTTGTATTCTATATTTTCTATTTGCATTGTATAATTTATTATCTGTATTGTATAATTTCTTATTTGTATTCGATAATTTTTCATTTGTAATGTATCCCAGAATTGTTTATTTGTTTCGTTACTAAGGGTTTCATTGGTCAAGTTTTAACATGATTCGCGCTAAAACGATCGAGATGTTCCAAGTGCTCAAAGCAAAGTGTGCATGTTAGGGGATGGTCATTTGATTCTGAAAAGGAACGGTGGCAGATAGCAAATAAATTATATGTCCTCAGAAATACTGACATGGAAAAAAATTAATAATTTTACATTGACCTTGACTAGTAGAAACCCACCCCAACCCTCTTCACCCCCCGAAATTGAGTTGTAAAGTTTTCTTCTTTTTCTTCTTCTTCATGTCCCTGGTCATCTTAGAAATAAATATTTTGTCATGTGAGAGCATGAAAATAAATAGTCTAAACTGATTTGACAAAATTTGCCGGCTCCCCCTCTCCCCCCCCCTCCCAATCAAAGAATCAAAGTGTCATCCCATAACATGCACGCAAGGAGGAGCCCGTCACACATCTCACTCGTTTTCAACACGATGCAGACAGAACATTCACAACGAAATCCTTCGTAACAAAGCAAAATAAAATCCCTCGGATACAATAAAAATTATCGAGTACAAATAAGAAATTTTACAATAGAAATCAAAAATTATACAATGAAAATTGAAAACATGGAATAAAATATATATCATACACTACAAATGGAAAAATATAGAATACAAACGTGAAGTTTTAGAATACAAATAAAAATTATACAATTCAAATGGAAAAGATCAAATATTGCAACGTTTGACATGACATACTGAAACCATCCAATGACATTTAATAACATTCATTTCAGGAAAACATGGACATTTTTATGAAGGATTTCGTGAAATTTTTACGTTGGTTTATTTTTTGTCATGAAGACTTAATATGTGATTTTGACAGATACACAGAATTCGTTGTTATATGAATTAGTAGAAAAAAACCTCGTCCTGAATTATCATAAGTTAATCTAGTTAATGTAGACTCAAGAACTGAAAAAAAACAAACAAACTAAAATTGGTTTAAAGGAAATGGACTGAACAAGGGTATTGTAAAATCACATTTTTTCCTAGGGTCAATGTTTTGTGGTTTGAGGAAAAACTATGTTTTTGGTGGGATTTTATTTCGTGTGTGATAACTTGTTGAGTAGTTAAATAATTTTGTTCATGAATTCAAGAGTCTATTCATACCACTAAAATAACGAAAATTACCGTAATCCTCTACGTAAAGTACTGATTTCACAGAATGTAAAAACGAAATGTTCCCGTTACCAGGCTTGCTCCTCATGGAGCTTTTAATTTTTTTTAATTGTTTGTGGTATAAAGAGACCCGCTGGTCACATGTCCTCAACGAAATGCTTAAATTTTAAACTATTAAATCATTTTTCTTCTTCAGCTACAAAATGAAATCCCTAACATTTTCTTCAAACCACGAACATTCGACCCAGAAAAGAATTGTGATTTTAAAGTATTTATCTTGTAAATTATTCAAACACATTTTAAAGGGATGAAGGATACATGGTCACATGACTCTGTTTAACTACGTCATAGTCTCCGTTTGTATAAGTGCAAAACATGTAAAGCATCAGTTCTTGTATAGTTTTTTGACAATTTTTTTTCCTTTTATTGCCATCTTATATCTAAAAAAATGAAAAGTTTAACATTCTTGTAAACATTAACAAAATATGAAAAAGATTGATCCACTCCTCTGTTTCCCTAAACTGCGTGTCCAATTTGTCGGTGATGTCATACACGATCTGTTAGTACAGCAAGATCATACTCGGTGAATACAGGGGCGGTGTTATAATTATGTAAGAACAGGTCATAATCAGTATATGATGAAATATTTTGAGAAACGGGGAACACAAAAGATATATTTGCATGGCTGATGATACAAATCTTATATAGGTATATCTTATTTCGCTTATTTAGCTTACGTGTGACGTCATAGATGGATTTTCCCGTACACGAGAAATGTAAACATAGCACGTTTTTGTCCTGCCTATGTCCTCTTTAACGATGCCCTGTGCAATATTGAGGTCAGCTTCACCATTCGAAATTTTTACAGTTAATCAATGATTAGAAGGACTTGCATTTCAACGTAAATTTAAAAATATTGAATGATGGAATTTTTTGTAAATTACGTTTTTTGTTGTTTGTCTTAAAAAGTTCGTAATTTTTCCTATCCAGATGCAGTGTGATAGAAGAAACTTGCTTTTTTCGAATTTTAAACCCGATTCATACTCTAAAATATTTTAAAAGATACATGTTCACTTACATAGTTTTTATATATGCTTTAAAAACCCATTTTGGACAGAGTAATGAGCCCGAAAACGTGGAGAATTAAAACTCCACTTAGATACTGTAGGGCATAATATTTGTCAATCAATATCTCTAAAATAAGTTAAGAAACCTAATGATATAACTGCTTAAAGATGTGTGGGATATACCTAATTAGAAATATACAATATATAAAAAAAATTGAATGACAAGTATTTTTTTTTAAGCTAAAGGTCCTTCTTCCCCTTAAGTTTGTCTAATCCAGGATGCAGATAATACAATGCAGCAAATGAAAACCACTTTGTATTTCTATCTGTCAGACTGTGGGAAATTAAAGCATGTAACAAAGGAACAAAAACGTAAACCAAATGGGTTATGAAAAAAATGCTTCACAACCTTGGGTTCTTTTTTTGGAAAGGGGATGGCAAGTACATATTGTATAGTACTTGTGTTGTTCTGATTAGCACACAAAACAGTTCTATGTTATGTATGCGAGAGTGATTTCTGATATATTATTTAAACATTAAATAAATTTGCACCTTCAATAAATTTTGTCTATTTTTAGAGGTGAGGATATACTTCGGAGGAGCATCAGCGAATGTTATTCACATGGACGAAGGAGCTACAAACGGGGTCATACATATCATTGACCAGTTGCTGTTTGTCCAGGAAGATCTTACAAGAAACATAAAAACACCAAGTAATAATGTTGAGCATATGGATTTAATTATTAGCGAAGAAAAAACGAAGGATAACACAGCTATGATTAGAATCTAATTTAAACTTAAAGGCTGTACTTCTATACATTGTTTACACATTGCAATCAAAACCTTAAAATGAAATAGGTGTTAAATGCATTTTTAAAAAATGGACGAGGAAATTTTTACAAAGGAGTATAAAGGAAAAATCTTTTTAAGAACAGCAAAGCAATGAGTGGTTATTATCTATTTGGAAGTATCCTCAGGTAGTATTGATTCAAGTTTGTTCAAATCGTGACCCCCGGGGTGTAGGGTGGTGCTTCAATGGACAATTTAAATTATACAGAGGAATACATAGCATTTTTTTTAAAAAAAATATTCTCCAGAATAGCAAAGCCATGATTGGTCATATTTATATGGAAGCATGCTCGGTTGTGTAGATTCAGATTTGTTAAGATCATGACCCTCGGGGGTAGGGTGAGAGCACTATGAAAGTTCAAATTTCTAGGAAAAAAGCCACAGTTCGTCAAAGAAATGTGTAAGCATCCTAAGTGTAGATTCAAGTTTGTTCAAATCATATCTCCCTCTTTTTAGGGGTAGGTTGGGGCTACTTATGCATTATTACTTTTTAATACTGAATCGATAGTGGCATTTAGTAGGAGAACATACTTTTCTTATAATGCAAAAATATCAATTTGTCCTAATTTATCACTTGCGAAAGTCTTTTTTTACACGATTTATAGAATTTACATGTAGCTATGGACAAGAAAAGTGTAGCTTTTCTCATTCTATTTTTTATTATTGTTTGAATTCGCTACCTATCATATATAAACAATGAAAAACGATATCATTGTTGAGCTGTGAAATACGTACATGTAGTTGAAATACAAACAGAGTTCTTATTTAAAAACTGGGGAAAAAATCCCCCCCCCCCCAAAAAAAAAAAAAACAAAAAAACAAAGAACAAACAAACAAAAAAAAAAAACAAAACAAAACAAAACAAATGAAATCCCTGTAATGTCGTCCTATTTGTCAGTAAAGAACCCTCTAGATCAGTATCAGTACATTGCCGAGTTTATAAGTCCTCACGGAACAAAAAAAAACCGTTCAAACCATTATCTTAAGTAAAAAGTGATTTAACCACACATCTACATCTAGAAACATAATAGTATTACTCCCAAGTATAATGACTAATGATAATCCATTTATCGTTTCTATCAAAGAAACAGATTTTCCTTCCCTTGAAAAAATAGAAAAGTAATTTAAGCAAATGCTGTTTGATAAGTGTTCAAAGCAAGGGTCTATCAAGCTTAAATACTGCAATTGTCAATCTACATGTACAATTTTTAATACATTCAATAAAGACATTTTTATGCCCCTGCCATGAAATGACCGGGGCATATAGTGTTACCCTGTTCCGTCATTCTGTCATCATTCACTTTACGTTTATAATCTCTGCAACAGTTGTACACATTCATTTGTCGAGGGCTCGAATCTCACTGTGGGACGTGGAGACAGCGGTCCCCCAAATGAGACTATATAAACCGAGGTCACGTGTCGTTGTAGGTGCTGGCACGATAAAGATCCCTCACTGCTCAATGGCCCTGAGTGCCGAGTATAGGTCAAAATTTGCAGCTCTCCACCTGCAAGTGGTAGCGTCTCCATATGAGTGAAAAATTCTCGAGAGGGACGTTAAACAATAAACAAACAAACAAAAAAAAAACAATTCAAATTTAACATAGGGATACGTGAAAGAACTACGCAGGTCAAGTTCGGATTTGGTCATGGTCAGATGATTTTTGACAGAGTTATCCCTCCTGAAATTTTAGGTTTCAACTCTCTAACTTTAGTGGGGATTTATGTATAAGGTTGAAATTTTGCATATGCAGGTATTTTATTAGAAAATACAGGTCAAGTTCAAATTTGGTCATGATCTGATGATTTTTGAGAGAGTTATCCCTCTTGAACTTAGAAAAAAATAAGAAATTTTTAGATTAAGTTCTCTAACTTTTGTAGGGATGCATGTATAAGGTAGAAATTGCATATGCAGGTATTTTACCAGAAAATTCGGGTGAAGTTTGAATACAAATTTAAAACTTAATATTGCATTTGAAATTTAGGCTGCTTGCGGGGGCATTTGTGGCGTTAACGACACATCTAGTTGCACAAAGAGTTTTGATTATTGTGCAGACCCGGCCAATGATGATAAGCATTTATTGTAATTGTAAAAAATGTTCAAAATGCGGATATACATTTCACATAATTAATATTTTAATAGGTGAGGTTGTAGTAGAAGAAGAAAAAATGCGAAAGGGCTTTTGTTATAACGACACCCAAAAACTTGGGATTCATATAAACTGTCATTTTAACTCTACAAGGGTTGTAATTGAAGAAGACTCGAGCGATACAAAAAATTGTCAAAACTCTCATAACTCTCAAAAAGAACGCGTCACCTGTGTTGTTGGAGGCTATGATGAAACGTACAATATGTTGGAGTTTATCTTAACATCTAATGACTCGGAGCACGCTGGGAAATCAATTTTGGTAAATACCACGTGTGAAAACGGAACTGATCAGAGCAAGAATATTACACTGTATCCTTGTTGTAAGTATATTTCAGCTTGATATTAGATATTAGTCCTTGATAATGAGAATTAAATGAATAAGACGACAAACTTTTTACCATCGAGTTTCGTGGATTTTGAATATCTCACCAGCTTACTACAGTAAAACACGCTTACAGCGAACATGCTTTTATTATAAGCTTGCAGCAAATCGTTTTCATTCCCTGTGTCTTTGAAATATATTGTAAACGGATATAACGAATGACATTTATAATAAAACAAATTCGTCCTTCACTGGCACTTCACATAAGCATTTTTTACTGTACCAGTTTAAGAGTGAGAATACAAGAGATTTAATATCTTACTTTTACCATTCCTAATTTTTAGTTTCATGTTTCACTGCAAATGTCAGGCAAAACGGCACACACGCCTTTTTTATGTGCAAGCACAGTTTCTTCAACGTGTCAAAGCAGATAAGTATAATTGATACAGCTGATGGGGTCCCTATGGAGACATGCAGATGGAACGACAGCACATCAACAACTGAATGCAATATCCAAAATCACGGTGAACTATTGACATGAAAGTCAAATCTCATTTGTCTTACTAAAGAAAGATCCCCTGCTCTAGATCTCTCAGGATGAAATTACACCAATCACACTACTGGCTTTCAAAACCTCTGTCCGTATGAAAATCCCCTGTCTTTCTCTGTAACCTACAGCATTTCCACAATTATCTACGGTATATCTACAGTATGGTACGGTATGTCTCCTCTGCATATACAGTAATTCTCAGTATGCCACTGTATGTATCCCCAGCATGCCACAGTTACCTACAGTAGGCCCCAGTACGCCTACGGTAGGCCCCAGTATGGCTACTGCTTCCTACAGTGACCTACGGTATGCCACAGTATATGCCCCAGTAGGCCCCTGTATTGTTCACCGAAGCAAAACGGAAGAGGTATACACACTTCCAGAGGCGCTGTTTATCTAAGATGTGAGGTTGTCAGTTCAGTACACAGGATTATTTCCGTGAGAAACTTTTGAACATTATTTTATACACATAGTAATACAACTGAAGTCAACTGATACGGGTCTCGTGATCCACATTAGGCAAAAACTTCACGCATATGTTATTGCCACAAAGAAAATATCGAAATGGTCAATAATGTTGACTGATCTGAAGTGTACATTTCTTGCTGACAAAATAAAAAAATACGCTATCATAAACATTAAAACTGTTATAATTATTAATTTATTCGTACATTTCATTATGTTTACAATTGTTAAGAGACTTATAGGGTTATGCAGTGATTCTGAAAAGTTTACAAATCATTGCTTCCAAAAAAAAAAAAAATCATCAATTAATGAATTTTATTTATTATTTTTTTCATTATTTATTTATTTATTAGTTTATGCCTTCCTTCATTCAAAAAATATTTAATTTAAAGCATCAAATTGGGAAGGGCATACATTACGACCAATAATTCTGCAATGAAGATTTTATTCACTTATAGTACGGCTACATTAGAGACCTAAATGTATATACTAATATATATGCTCCTGGCTAGTGGCTACATGTGCTTGTAAAATATATGCCATGGTATTTTAATAAGCTTGAACACGTCGTGTAACTAATGCCCTATATCCTTAGTATAAAGGTCCCTGATGTAAGTAAATCTCACCGATGCAAATATTTGAAAAGTAATCCGCGTCGATACAGGAATGTAAAATTTATTTTATTTAGATTTTCTGCCTGCTCAGCGAGAAAAAAGTCTTTTAATCTTGGTACATATAACCATTCTAATAAATGAACATAGCTGTATACGACAGCAGTGGGTCTGTCATAGTATCTAATGACATGGTATATTTAGGTAACACAGCTCTTTTTCTTTATTGTCAACCGATCAATTTTTTTTCCAATCGACCTTTGTTCATTATCTTCAACTTTAACATTTTTTTGACAATTATATTTTACATATAATCACATGCTGTCCAGGCGCGGATCCAAGAATTTTTCCAGGAGGGGGGGGGGATATTCCACCCTAATTCCAAAAAAATTAACGCAAATTCCATTTTCTTAACGTGAAAAAAAAACCTATTTCGTGGTGGGATCCACGCTTTCGGGGGGGGGGGGGGTCAAAGTCATGTTTTATTTGATTCAATATAACTTGGTTCGGAATGCCCCCCCCCCCCCCAGGTTAGAGCATGCTGTCAGTATTAATTTTAATCGGAGAAATTCAATATTAAACGTATAATACAAGATCAGTTTATGCAAAAGAGGCACAAGTAAATCATATGTAATTGCCGACGGACAGTGAAAGGTGTAATCTGTATAAAAACTGTAGACATGATTTTCTAAGAAATATTGGCATTTTAAATTTACAAAATAACGATTAAGATGTTCTATTCAGATATCTATTAACTCATTTCCCACGTCAAAATGCGAGTTTCAAATATAATGCATATAACATACACTGTAAGACAAAGAAAAATCACACGCATGTAATTAATATATATTGCTAAAAGTGATTTATAGGTCCGATGGGCCGGATGTTGTACATATATGCTTATTTGTCGAATGAACGTAAAATTATTGTATACACAAGTCACTATGTATAATAAAATATTTACTTACTTACTTATTGTATATAATTTTAAAGCAAAATTCATGCGAAAACCCTTTTCTGTCTTTTTTTTTCCTAGGGGGCAAAGCAAACAAGCCATCAAATTTATTTTTAAAAAAGTCTGACGTTTTGTGTTTAATGAGGGAACAAGTTAACTATTAAACAGAGATGAATTACAAATATATCGAACCTATTAATTCCGGCTTGGTTGACAAGAAGTGCGACATCTATTTTGTACATGGAAATTTCGGGGGGGGGGTTATTTTATACAATGGAAAATTAAATCGAAAGTCAAACATGTATTATCAAGACACGTTTACTTAGAACAACAATATTTGACAGACAAGAAACTCATCTTGAGTTCCCCCTACGAAATTTATACGTTCAGAAAGGTACATGAAAAATTCACCAGAAATGTATATATTATCCAGCACGAAGAGGACTAAGTAAGTAAGTAAAATGTTTTCATAAAAAAACATCAAAGGGTTGATTATTCTAGACACCGTTTTGATTTTCTTAAAAATATAGTCTAACTACATCACAAATGTTTCATCATAATGTTGCGGGATCGAGATCCGGAAAAACTCCTCAAAAGAAATCGCAAGAGGCTGACCTTGACAGATGAATTAAACGAGGACGCATTTTTCTTCATAATCATCTTTCTGAATGTACTATTATGGAACGCCATAGCTGCCTGAAGGTCATTTTCATTTTATATGAGGTGGTATAACCTTTATGTGAAGTGGTTAAGTCATTATATATAGTGGTAAAATCATTATATACAGTGATAAAATCATTATATTCATTGATGACTTTATTATATGCAGTGGTTTTATCATTATATTCAGTGGCAATGTCATTATATGTAGTGGTTAAATAATGTAATGAAGTGATAGTACCGTTACATTATGCTGTAAAATCATTATATGCAGTGGTTTTTCCATTATATACATTACTGATATCTTTCTGTGATGTGATAAATTCAATATATACAGTACAAACATAATTTGTGTGATAAAGCAATCATTACATTGTATGAAACCCGCTGCATGTGGAGTGCCAAGTTAATTTCATTCAGTGCGACACCTTTACATGAAGTGAAAAATCTATTATGTGCAGTACTAAGATCATTATATTATATAGTAAAATTATTATACATATTCCTAAAATCATACTTTGCAGTGGTAACATCTTTATATGAGGTGGTTAATTAATTATATGATGTTGTTAATTTGTTATATGATGTGCTTAAATCTTTATATGCATTAGACGTTTCATGTTATGCAGTGGTAACTTCTTTATCATCATCTAAACTGGTCCTCTTGCAAAAACATTTTTAAAAAATGCGCGGAGTTCCAGTTTAAAGAGTGTTTGAAAATAGGAAGCCCGGGCCGTGGCAAATTAAAAGCCGGGACTATTCGAGATTTTTCAAATTTCTGATTTAAAATTTTCAGACTCTTTTTTTAGGCTAATGTGTTTTCGCTGTAAAAATTGTATTTAAATACTTGGTATTTTAGATTTTCTTTACGATTTTTGGTTTCAAGTAAAATTGGTAGGCAGTTTCAATTTTCTGATTTAATATTTTATCCATTGTGCTATAAGTACTTAGTATTTTAGATTTTTTTTAACGATTGTTGATTTCGATGTTGGTAAAATGGGTAGACTGGGTTGGCGATATTTTATGTGTGTGTGTGTGTGTGTGTGTGTGTTTTTTTTTTTTTTTTTTTTTTTTGACATATTTGATAAAAATCTAATAAACTTAAAAATTATTCCGATGTTAAACACTGTATTTTAACTAAAAAAAACTTTTTCTTTTTGATAGTTATTTCTTTATTTGAAAATGCTATTTTTATGCAAAATACACATTTTCATTAAAAAAGGGATTATTAAACCAGATCCGATCATCCGGGAAGAACCTGGTGCAAAACACCATAAATCATTTCTAATTTCATAATATGCAAATGTGCACTGGTACATGTATCTATATGCTAGAAGATGGAAGGAAACTGGATTACGTTAAATATGTAATTTGTTTAATACTTTTTTCGGGGTGGGGGTGGGGGGTGGGGTGTTAAATTACTAATATCAACTATTTATAAGACTGTTTCTAAGACTTCAGAAAACCTTAAATCACATTGAAAAATTGCTGCATGAAAACATTTCATTTTCAAGTTTCATATTTGCCGTCGCCAACGTGGCACGGTGAATAGAGTGTCTGCTCTAAGAGACGCGGAATAAGGAGTCAATCCTTACGTCACGGGTTCGAATCCGACAGTGGGACGTTGAGACCGGTCCTTCGTAAGAGACCGCATAAAGCCATAAACCGAGGTCCCGTTCCACAGTAGGTGTTGGCACGAAAAAAAAATCCCTCACTGCTCAATGGCCGTAAGTGTCGAGTATAGGACAAAATTTGCAGCTCTCCACTGCATGGCAAATTGTGGCGTCTCCATATGAGTGAAAAAATCTCGAGAGGGACGTTAAACAGCAAACAAACAACCAAATTAAAATCATTTTAGCCTTTTTGAATAAAATGATAAAATTAAGAGTTATCCTTCAAGGCTGAGGATCGGATATCCTTAAACCAAGCAACTTACGCGTGATTAAAGTTTGACACAAGGCTTTGCATTAATAGTCCTATAATTACATGTATATGTGATAATTCTTTAATTAATTTATATTTTATCAAATGGCATGTAGATAATGAATAAGTATTTCGGATTTTTTATGTTTGACTTCCGGGAGATCAAATCCGATTTTAATGAACCATTGGCGTCGGAAGGAAATTGATAGTGGGGTGGCTAATTGAAATAGAAAAAAAAATCAAACCTGAAAAAAAACTTGACAAGCAAAAAAAAAAAAAGGAAAATTGTTCTTTCTCCAAACCCGAAAATCCTATTTCGGGGGTGTGGGTGGATGGGGGGGGGGGGGGGTTTGGTCGAAC